TATGAGGGATCGCCAAAGAAGAAGAAGAAGAATCCCAGTGAAATCAAGAGGACTTGCTTCTGAATAAACATGCATTGGAATGGGGTACACTGCAAAACCTGGGAATACTTGTCCCTTGCAATGCGTTCAGAAAACATTCTGAGCTGAGTGAACTGTCCTGTGTACATAAGAATCAGGATGTAGTCATCAAGGATGACAGTTTTGTTATTTAAAAACCCAACAAAACAAAAAGCCTTGTTCTGGCAAGAATAGGACCAAGCCTTAGACTATATTTTTTCGCTTCATTAAGCCTAATATTTTCAACCACTAGGAGGCATAGTGATCCTATCCGTACTACTTTCAGAGAGTTGCAGAAATATAATTTAAACCCTCAGAATGTCATTGCATCTTCTTTCGTTTACCGCTGCCTCTGTCCCCCCTCATTCTCTGTTGTTTCCCTTTTGTCTATTGTCCCTTAAATGCATTAACATTTCTAGAGTACAGTACCATCTATGCACTACCTGGAGTGTCATAGCTGTGCCACGTACAGAGGTGGCGCTTAGATTGATAGATAATACGCATACTTTCTTAGGAATAAGTCCCATTGAGCATTCTGAGATTTACATCCATACAACTGGGTTGCATTTCATCCTGCTCCACGTTTTATTCCATATTATTCCATTACTATGTTTTTATTGCAGAATGAAGATTTGAAAAAGTTTTTGGGAAACAAAGAGATCTATTATTTTTAAATTTTCACTGAGTGGCCTCTTTATTTTCTTAGCATCCTGTTAATTTTCAGACTAGGGCGCATATCAAACATGCTTTCATAAGCCATCCAATTTAAAATGTCTGAATGTGAACCTGGAAGGTTTGTTTAACAGAGCTGGATGAAGCAGAAGCAATTTTAAATGAGAAGACACTCAACTGAGGCTTTGCTGGTTTAATCCGTTGTTATAAAAATAAGGAGCATTTTTGCAACCCTCCTAAGAAAATGAGTTAAAAATTGTCCTCTTTCCTACTGAAAAAATCCTGCCCATGGGCCATTTGCATGCTTAGCTTCCAAGCTAATGAGTTAACGGGGGAAAAAGTTTGGCTACATGAGAGAAAACCAGCTAGACAAGTTCAAAACCAGTTAAGTAGAACCAATGTCATTTGCCTTATATTTTAACCCAGCAATTCTCTATTCAGAAGCAAGTTCTATTGCACCCGCATGTCATTGGTGTTAAAATGCCATATTTTTTCTCGTTTAATCTGGATTTACTTTTTCTGCGGGGGAAACCAAAGATTTTTTTTAAAAAAAACTGTTGCCAACAGCTTGTTTTCTATATCTGAATGACTTGTTTGCAGTATTAAGCTCCCATCTGGAAGCACCATAGGGATGAGGAAGGGAGGAAGCAGAGGCAGGAAAGAAAGAAAGAAAGAAAGAAAGAAAGAAAGAAAGAAAGAAAGAAACTTTCTAACTGGTAAGGGAAGATCCATCCACTCAGTGAACTGCATCCACTGGAGTTTTACACAAGACTTCCATCCTCGCCTTTAAAGAGTTTGGGGTTCTAAAATCTGAGGCCTAACTGTGCATCCTCACTTTTGACTTTCAAGATTCTCTTGAATACTTTTTTTTATGTCAACGAGCCTATGCAGTTGTTTAAAATGTCCCTTAAGCAGCCAGCCATTTTAACCATCGCTTCAAACTGCTTGAAAAATGTTTTATGCTGTTGTGCACTGCCCTGACGCTTTGTGAAAGTGTGCTGCACGAATATATATATATTTATAAACAAAACAAAAATCTACTCAAAAGCAAGTCCTATTGAATTCCAAGAGAGTGTGCAATGGAACAAATTTTCTGCTGCAGGGATAGCGAACCTACAGCCCTCCAGATGTTGGATTGAAACTCGCATCAGCCCCAACCAGTGTGTGTGATGTTGGAAATACTGTATCTGAAGCTGCAGTTGGAAATACTGTGTCTGAAGGCCCACAAGTCTCCTATCTCTGTCCTACTGCAATTCCTGTACTCAGTGAGATTTGCCACAAATGACTCAAGCTGCCAACGTGAATGGGATTGCCATTTTACAGCCTGATCCTGTTGATATTTACTCAATAGTAATTGCAGTCTTATTGGGACATGGGTGGCGCTGTGGGTTAAACCACAGAGCCTAGGACTTGCCAATCAGAAGGTCGGTGGTTTGAATCCCCGCGACGGGGTGAGCTCCCATTGCTCAGTCCCTGCTCCTGCCAACCTAGCAGTTCGAAAGCACGTCAAAGTGCAAGTAGATAAATAGGTACCGCTCCGGCGGGAAGGTAAACGGCGTTTGCGTGTGCTTCTCTGGTTCACCAGAAGCGGCTTAGTCCTGCTGGCCACATGACCCGGAAGCTGTACACCGGCTCCCTCGGCCAGTAAAGTGAGATGAGCGCCGCAACTCCAGAGTCGGCCACGACTGGACCTAATGGTCAGGGGTCCCTTTACCTTAACTGCAGTCTTCATTTTGGTGGCTCAAGCTGCTGTCTCTAGTGCAGTTAGGTAATCTTCTGGAAGCCCTTCTTTAACATTTTACTTCACTTTAGAGCGATGATTTTACCAGAGGGATTCCAGCACATACCGGAAATTTAGGGTTGCACAGTTAGTGGATCAAAGTGCTCTGTTGCATTGGCAAACTTAAACACAAGTGGCTTTTTAGGGTTAGCATAGCGAAGGTAAAACCCACCGGAAAGCGTGGAATGAAGATTTTTTAAAAAATAATCAAACAACAACCCACAAGGAAATCTGGATGACACCTCCTGGTTGTATAAGCCCTCCAGGAAACAAATCAGAACAGATGCTCAGTAAAGACCAGACACAGACTATCCTAAGGCCTGCATAGCTCAGTTGGCAGAGGTCGAGACACTTAACCCGAGTGTCGTGGGTTTGAGCCCCCCGTTGGGCAAAAGATTCCTGCATTGCATGGGGTTGGACTAGAGGACCTTCATAGCCCCTTCCAACTCTACAATTCTATGATCCTCCATGTACGATTTGCACAAGCAGATCAGAATGACAGCCCCTCCCACGTCCCTGTTTTCCAGATAAGTAACTATGCAACTTTTAGAAGACATCTGAAGGCAGCCCTGTATAGGAAAGCTTTTAAAAAGATATTTAATGTTTTATTATGTTTATATATATATTGGAAGCCACCTAGAGTGGCTGGGGCAACCCAGTCAGATGGGTGGGGTATTATTATTATTATTATTATTATTATTATTATTATTATTATTATGGCTTTTTTCAGCTGGAACTCACCGGAACTCTGTCCCAACATCTCTCAGATCATGTGCACTATTGCCATTATAAGAGAACAAGGGAGGTGCTAATGGTGAGTTCCAGCACCTCTTTTCCTAGAAAAATAGCACTTATTTATTATTATTGAAGAGGACATCCCTATTTTCATCGGAGAAATGTTGGAGCGTATGGAGTTATGCAGCCCCCAAGCCAAGGAGATAAGGAACTATACACAATCTTTAGAAGATATCTGAAGGCAGCCCTGCATGGGGAAGATTTCAATGTTTTATGATGTCTTTAATATATTTTGGAAGCTGACTAGAATGGCCTGGGGCAACTCAGTCCGATGAGTGGGGTATAAATAAAATAAATGATGATGATGGAATAGGATGTCCCTATTTTCGTGGGAGGAATGCTGGCAGGGTGAGGGATGAATGCTTCAAAATGTGACATATAATGATTTGGGGGGAAATGTTTAAAATAACCTTTTCTAAAAAAAAACCAAAGCCTTCCTTTTAGGAATTCTAGGTGCCAAAATCCCATGGGAGAAAAGACTATTTATGTATGCGACCATAGCTGCGCAGATGTTATTGGCCCAGAGATGGAAAGAATAAAGTCCCTACCAGAGAAGAATGGCAGATCAAGTTGATGGATTATGCTGAAATGGCCCAAATGACCGGAAGAATCAGAAATCAGGAAGACCAAAATTTTAACAAGGAACGGGGGAAATTGATAACTTATCTTAAAATACCATTGTAAACAGTTAAAATTGTTAGTAGGATTGGAACATGGGCAGGCAAACTAAGGCCCAGGGGCCGGATCCGCATAGCTGTCAATTTTTCCCTTTTCTTGCGAGGAATCCTATTCGGAATAAGGGAATTTCCCTTAAAAAAAGGAAAACGTTGACAGCTATGCGGATCTGGCCCAATCGCCTTCTCAATCCGGATGGTCCGGAAATCAGCGTGTTTTTACATGAGCAGAATGTGTCCTTTTATTTAAAATGCATCTCTGGGTTATTTGTGGGGCCTTCCTGGTGTTTTTACAGGAGTAGAGTGTGTGCTTTTATTTAAAATGCACCTCTGGGTTATTTGTAGGAATTCATTCATTTTTTCCCTTCAGAATATAGTCCGGCCCCCCACAAGGTCTCAGGGACAGTGGTCCGGCCCCCTGCTGAAAAAGTTTGCTGACCCCTGGATTGGAATATCACTTGTATTTTAATGGTGAATTTTGGACACAACAGTTCTGGATTATTATAAAAGATGCAGGAGGAAATGATTGACAATAGGGCCCACAAAGGGGAGGAGATTCCTTGGAATCTTGATTTTACGTTGCATGTTGGATATGTGACTGTAACATTTTAATCTGAAAAAACCAAATAAATATTTTTTTTTTAAAAGAATGCTTCAAAATGTGCTGGTATTTAGGCCCCTCCTGCCCAGCGGGGGTCCTGATTCCACCCCCCCCGCCTCTGCCGTGAGTTCCAGGGGCGGGATCCCCGTGACGCGTGGGCGTACAAACCCACGCGATCCCTGCCACGGATTTCAAAGCCCCACGCGGACCCCTGAGGGAGCAGGCTGGGCCATTTCCCCCCCTCAGCGACCACTACGCGCGTGCTCGAGATACGCCTTCCCCGCGCTTGCTCTGTGCCTGCGAGGCGGCGGGGGGACGACGAGAAAGGGATATTTATTTATTTTCCTGAGGAAAAGAATGTAAAAAAACGAAAAGGAAAAAAAAGAGGAGGGCGGCTACACACAAAACACACGCACAGGCCGCTCCGCCCTTTCTCCCGCCCTTCGCCCCGCCTCATGGCCGCCTCGCTCGCTTCCTCGCTGGGCCAGTCACGGGCTGAGGTGGCAGCTCGCTCCCGGCTCCTTCCCTCGCTCGAGGCCCCGGTGGGCGTGAGGCGGCGGCGACGGTGGCAAGCGGCGCTCCTTCGCCTCAGCGAGCGGAGAAGAGGAGGAGGATGAGGGGCTGCAGCAGCAGCGAGGCGCCTCGGCAGCGAGTCGCGCACTGAGCCGCCTCTCGACACACACCGACCGACCGACCGCCATCCCGAGCGGGGCTTTTACCTCAGGGCGCTTCTTCCCGCGCCCGCCAGCAGAGGCCGCCGAAGAGGGCTGGCGGCGCCGGCTGCCCCATGTCCCGCAAGGCCAATGTGGAATATACCCTGAAGAGCCTCAGCAACCTGATGGGGGAGAAGCGCCGACGGCGGCAGCAGCAGCAGCAGCAGCAGCCGGCGCCCGCCGCCGCCGAGGGCTCGGCTAGCCTGGGCGAGAGGAGCCTGCTGGCCGCCGCCGAGTCGTGCTCCAGCCTCCACAGCCAAGCGTCCGGCGGCGGCGGCGGCTGCTCGGACTTGGAGCGGGCGGCCCGGCGGCAGTTCCAGCGGGACGAGACGCCCAGCTTCGTGTACGTGGCGTCGGTCTTCTCGGCGCTGGGCGGCTTCCTCTTCGGCTACGACACGGGCGTGGTGTCCGGGGCGCTGCTGCTGCTCAAGAAGGAGCTGCACCTGGACGCCTTCTGGCAGGAGCTGCTGGTCTCCAGCACCGTGGGCGCCGCCGCCCTCTCGGCGCTGCTGGGCGGCGTCCTCAACGGCTGGTGCGGCCGGAGAGCCTGCATCCTGCTGGCCAGCGGCATCTTCACGGCCGGGGCAGCCGTGCTGGCGGCCGCGCAGGACAAGGAGACGCTGCTGGCCGGGCGCGTCGTGGTGGGGCTGGGCATAGGTAAGCCACCCTCCCCTCGGGCCCTCCTGGAAAAACTTGGGGCATTGCTGTCATCTTCTCTTTTTTTGCATCCTCCGCGCACCCCTTTCCCTCCAGTGTTGTTGTTTAGTCGTGTCCGACTCTTCCTCACCCCATGTATATTATTTTGGGGATCATCTTGTTCGCAGGATTGTTAAATGATGGCTGCCTTAAATATGTATTGAATTCCACAGCATCCTAGCATGTTGTGAAATAGGGTAGGATTGGAGGACTTACTCAGACTAAGAGAACTTGTTTAGTTGTGTCCGACTCTTCATGACCCCCTGGACCAGAGCACGCCAGGCACGCCTGTCTTCCACTGCCTCCGGCAGTTTGGTCCAACTCATGCTGGTACTTCGAGAACACTGTCCAGCCATCTCGTCCTCTGTCATCCCCTTCTCCTTGTGCCCTCCATCTTTCCCAGCATCAGGGTCTTTACCAGGGAGCCTTCTCCAAAGTATTGGAGCCTCAGCTTCAGGATCTGTCCTTCCAGTGAGCACTCAGGGCTGATTTCCTTCAGAATGGATAGGTTTGATCTTCTTGCAGTCCATGGGACTCTCAAGAGTCTTCTCCAGCACCATAATTCAAAAGCATCAATTCTTTGTCGATCAGCCTTCTTTATGGTCCAGCTCTTACTTCCATACGTACATCACTACTGGGAAAACTCACTGGTCCTTAACTCATTCACATGTTGTTGTTGTTTAGTCATTTAGTTGTGTCCAACTCTTTGTGACCCCATGGACCAGAACACGCCAGGCACTCCTGTCTTCCACTGCCTCCCGCAGTTTGGTCAAACTCATGCTGGTAGCTTCGAGAACACTGTCCAACCATCGTGTCCTCTGTCATCCCCTTCTCCTTGTTCCCCTCCATCTTTCCCAACATCAGGGTCTTTTCCAGGGAGTCTTCTCTTCTCATGAGGTGGCCAAAGTATTGGAGCCTCAGCTTCAGGATCTGTCCTTCCAGTGAGCACTCAAGGCTGGTTTCCTTAAGAATGGATAGGTTTGATCTTCTTGCAGTCCATGGGACTCTCAAGAGTCTCCTCCAGCACCAGAATTCAAAAGCATCAATTCTTCGGCGATCAGCCTTCTTTATGGTCCAGCTCTCACTTCCATACATCACTATGTTCTGCACTGCACACAGCACACTTCCCCCCCCCCCCCGTTTCAGCTCCACTTTGGGGCATTGCAACAGACCTGCGTGCCTGCTTGTTTCAGTGGAAGTGGACTGAGACTGTTTTGTGCAGGAATCTTGCAGCTTGCCTCTTTTTCAGTCCGTCCCCCCCCCCAAAAGCTAGTTTCTTTGCACATATGTAGAGTTCCCCCGGCTATTGTAGCCAATGCTTTTCTTAGAGAAAAAGGTGCCTGTGGCAGTGCTCGCCAAAAAGTGGTTATAGTAAGTGCCACACTTTTAACCAGGGCTTTTCTTCTTCTTTGGCAATCACCCGTAGCCAAGTAAGATTGTCTTCCATACACATGGTTTTACAATGAGGCCGATTCTGGATCCACATGTCCTTTCACAGTGGGGACATAAAAAAGGTGCCAGAGCTTGCCATAAAGTGGTTACAGTAAGTGCCACACTTTTAACCAGTGTTTTTCTTTTAGAGAAAAAAGGTGCCAGTGTTCACCATAAAGTGGCTACAGTAAGTGTCACACTTTTAACCAGGGCTTTTCTTCTAGAAAAATGTGCCTGTACTGCATGCCCTTGAGTATCCCTAGAAAAAAAAGCACTGGTTGTAACATACAGCAAACTTTTCTTGAGAGTAGTATTGGTGGGGCTAGAGGAGGGAACTCCTCTTCCTCAAAAGGCCCCCAATTGTGTGGCGTGTGCAGTGCAGAACAGGTAACTTTATCAAACTGCTCGGGGTTTGCACCCTTGTAACCTCAGCGTTAAGGGACGCGGGTGGCGCTGTGGGTAAAGCCTCAGCGTCTAGGACTTGCCGATCGAAAGGTCGGCAGTTCGAATCCCCGCGGCGGGGTGCGCTCCCGTCATTCGGTCCCAGCGCCTGCCAACCTACCAGTTCGAAAGCACCCCCGGGTGCAAGTAGATAAATAGGGACCGCTTACTAGCGGGAAGGTAAACGGCGTTTCCGTGTGCTGCGCTGGCTCGCCTGATGCAGCTTCGTCACGCTGGCCACGTGACCCGGAAGTGTCTTTGGACAGCACTGGCCCCCGGCCTCTTAAGCGAGATGGGCGCGCAACCCCAGAGTCGGACACGACTGGCCCGTACGGGCAGGGGTACCTTTACCTTTACCTTTAACCTCAGCGTTTTTCCATTTAGAGCAAAGAGATGGCTCTCCCCAAACCCAACCCCCCCTTTCATCTGTCCTCTGCTTAGCTTGGATAACTTTAGAAATTAAGACTTCAGCTCTTAATGTCTACTGCCAAGTGAAGAGCCTGACTCTAATGTAAGAAGGAAGTTATTCAAGATGTTAGTCATTATTATTTATCATCATTGTAATTGTCTTTTTAAAAGAAATGCCCTATGTTTATCTGTTCTCAAAGGGAACGGTTTGTGCTGTTAAGTTGCCCTCTCTCATTGTCCTTTTGCAAGTCAGAAATTCATTTTAAAGGTGATCATTGTTGTCACTGCCAGTGGTGTTTTCTTTAGCATAGAATATTTAATGTAGCCTAGCTAGCAAAATACAATTATATTGTAGCTTGAAAGCGGTACTTTATATTTTTGAAAGATGTTCAGGAGGGTTAACTTTGGCTCAAAAGATCCTGAGTTAAAATTCAGATGGTGCAACTAATGGTATTGTGGGGAGAAACGGCACATCTCTGAAAAGGCACCGTTTATCTGTACAGTTGGGAAAGCAACCCCACAGTTAATGTGTAGCATTACTTAAGTAAGTTTAAGTACAGTAATGGCAAACAGATAGTCTTTACCTGTTTCATTTTTTTCTCCTAGCATATTGAAGGGTCCTTGCTGTTTCTTATGATGCCATCGTTCAGTAATACACAGTATCTGAAAGTTGAGCTTTCCCAGAACTTGCTTTATGAATTGACCTTGGAAGATAAACTCACTAAAGTCTTTTAACAGTTGATAACACATACATTGCAACCATACAAACTTGCCTTAGAGTAAGTCTCATTGAATCATGTGGGACATCCGCATAGATGTGTGTAGGATTTTGCATTTAGTGGCATACATTTTTGTAGAAGGCATATTTTTTGTAGAACTTTTATTCAGTCCTCCTGGCAAGGAGTTTAGGGAAGCCTATATGATCTTCCCACTCTCTTTTCCCCATAACTCTCTGAGATAGGCTTAGATTGTGAGTGTAACTGTGAATATAGTTTTAAACCCAGGCATCAGGCCTGTACAGCTTACTATTTGTGTAGAAAAATGCTGAGGAAGAAAGCCTAGTGATAAGTGGTGGTCAGATGAACAAATTATTAACAATGGAACACATACACCTTTTCTACCTCATTTTTGAACAGTTCATTTGGAATTTCGTTTAAGTAGAACGCACTTATATAATTATGTCTAGGTGTCTACCTTCGGTACTCTCAATTTTGGACAAAGCCAAGATGGCAAGAATATCCTGAAAATGCATTAGCCAGAGATTCACAACTTTGTATTCTTCACAGTAAGGTAAAGGTAAAGGTACCCCTGCCCGTACAGGCCAGTCTTGACAGACTCTAGGGTTGTGCGCTCATCTCACTCTAGAGGCCGGGAGCCAGCGCTGTCCGCAGACACTTCCGGGTCACGTGGCCAGCGTGACGAAGCTGCTCTGGCGAGCCTGCACCAGCGCAGCACACGGAACGCCGTTTACCTTCCCGCTATAAAGCGGTACCTATTTATCTACTTGCACTTAAGAGTGCTTTTGAACTGCTAGGTGGGCAGGAGCTGGGACTGAACGACGGGAGCTCACCCTGCCGCGGGGATTCGAACCACTGACCATGCGATCGGCAAGTCCTAGGCACTGGGTTTTACCCACAGCGCCACCGGCGTCCCTGTGCCACTTATCTTCTTATTGGCCTCTCTATTGTTGAAACATCTTTTCTCTATCTTAAAAGTTTGTGGTTTTGTTGTGTGCTTTTGTTATTCTGCCCATATTTACCTTTTCTTCTCTTGGTATATCTTCTTTTTTTCTGGCTGTTTGCAGTGTGAAAACTTTGTCACTGATTCAGCCCATGCCTTCAGTTACATCTTTTCTTAGAGATCACTCAGCACTATGCTGTTCTCTTTGTCATACATATTCTGATTTCAGTCTTCCTTCCATTTGTCTCCTCTAATGTGTTCTGTTAGAATTGGATCCTGTGGGCAGAGTCTGTTTCCATTTTTTTAACCCTTTCACAATATAAATGAGAACTAAACCTTGTAATCAACAAGTACTACAAATACATGAGATCACACTTTTCTCTTTTGCCATTGGTTTTTCATTACATAATTGTGTACTACACTCCTTTTTTTAATAACTTGCTCAGTTGTGATGCATACTTCAAGTTTATTTCTTGTTGGGAGACAGAACCAGTTAGTTGAGAACCATTGTTGCATTGCCTTTCACAGTTTGCATCTGTGAAGCTGTACTGTTGCAAGCTTTTGTTATCAGAAGCATGGGATGTGCTTTTCAAACAGAGCAACAACTTTTTGAAAACAGATAGAGGGAGCCTCTGCTCTCAGCCATTCATTGAACAATTACAGGAGTTTGTAGAATACTCCTTCTAAGAAGTTAGTGTAATTGTATTGGCATAAGGCTGATGAATCGTGAGTAATAATTCATAATTATTCATGCTGCTCAGCTGTGTTTATTTCTGGGAATTCATAATTTAGTGTGTTTACACTTGAAGTACATATATTTGACTCTTCGTTTGTTGTACAAGGCTTTTGGGTACTGTAATTATTGGGATTGAAGTGCAGTTGGACTGGATCTAACCCTCTGCAAAAAAGGTAATTTGGCAATTAGTCTTAAAAGTAAAAATGAACATTATTGTTTTTCTCTTTTTATGTGCACCTACTTTTAAATTAATATGATTTGCATA